ATTTTGGATTTGTCAACTTCTGCAACCACGTGAGTCAGGAGAAGCCTCCAGCCTGACACCTGACCCACAGATTTGGAACTCACCAGCCTCCACAACTGCATGAGCCATTTCCTTAAGATAGATCTCTCTCTATATATATATTCACAAAGTTTTCCCTGGCCAGTTGTTTGAGAAGTGGATGGCCTCTTCCTTCTTCCTAGTCTGTCTTGATCTGCAAGCCGGGCTGATACCTGTGCACCATGTGCACCCCACTGGGTTTGAAACACCAGTGGCACAGCCTCAAGACTCACAGCAACATGTCACCACAGTAGGACAAACCAAAAGACAAGTTTGTCTACCTTAGCTGTTTGAAACCTCTCCAACCTCCCCTTACCTAGATCCTTGATGCTGCCTCCTCGCTCTATCCCAGTCCCGCTGGTCTTTTTCCTCTCCTTTCCCCCATTTTCCCACCTTGCTGCTTGTGGGGCATGGCCTACGTTCCCTCCCCTCATCTGGATCCCTGCCCGACTCCTTGCTCTAGCCCGGTCACCGTGGACTTTTTCTCTCCTTTTCCCCATTTTCCTGCCTTATCTCATGTAGAAAGGAATAATAGCCCATGTGAGTATTTCCTACCTGGTTAGTGTATTAGATTTGGTAAGTAACCACCAGCTTCTGTAGTAGATACTTTCCAAAATCCCAGTATCTGGAAACAATGGAAGTTTGTTTCTTACTCACAGACAGAGGAAACTCTTTTCCTAGCAATGAATCAGACATCCATGATCCTTTCATCTTGTGATGGCTACAGCCATTCCAACAGATAGCTTGCATGACCACAATGAGTCATGCAATGTATGTATGTATGTATGTATGTATGTGTGTGTGTGTGTGTATATATATATATATATATATATACACACACACACACACATTTGACTGGTTTCCCTCCTCTAGAGAACCCAACCTAAGACAGGTGGCAATGAGACACAAAAGACTGAAAGGCTGGGAAAAGGCTGAAACCTTTTAAATGAGGCACATCTTCTACTGGTCTCTAGTAGAAAGGCTGAACTGTTTTCAATTCCAACAGCCAAACTCTGAAGCCATTTAATTCTCTATTATTCATAGGTAGCTCAGCCTCCTCTACTCCTGGAGCTGCCTTCTGTTTGCAAATGCCTTCATGCTTCTGGAAATCTACAAATATGGGAGCATCTGTTGTTCTAGGGACTTGGAATACTGCAAATTCAAGTAATGAGAGTGCAAATTCAAGTAACAAGACTACTTGCTAGAGGATGGACTACAAGGAGATCAATGTTGCTGAGTCTCCAACAGCTTCCCTGCCCTTCAAAATGCTACCCCTCTTCGCTCTCAGTTTCCTAACACTTTGGCCGGGGAGAAGGACTTAGGTATTTTAGGTTAAAGAGCTTCCTGTCCATAGAAGTAAAATTAACAAAAGATATGGACTGACTCACTAGAACACATTGTCACCCACAGTGCTTAATTATGTTATCAGACTTCATAGTGCTGACTTGTTGGTACAGATGAAAGAGCCAGAAGCTGAGTGTCAAGAGCTGGGAAGATATATCCAAATGAGGAAAACACATTCGAAAAGGATGGAGGGCTCACACCAGGCACTCTCCCCTAAATGACCTCATTTAATCCTCACAAAAAAAATTAAAAATAGAAAAAGCTCTGAGTTTCTATTCTATACATAGGGAAATAGCCTCAAAGAATTCGAGTAAACTTTACAATACTGAAGAGTGAGTAATAGGTGGGGCTAAGATTTGATCCACCTGTTTGACTTTGAAGCCCATTCCCTCTACCCTATGTCTTCACATTCCTGGATTTAATGGACAGTTCCTCGGGTGATGCAAATGATTAAGCATTGGGCTGCTAACCAAAAGGTTTGAAGTTAGAGTTCACCCAGAGGCACCTCGTAAGAAAGGCAGTGTTCTACTTCTGAAAGATCACAGCCATTAAAAACCCTATGTCCTACTCAGAATACACATGGGCTCACCATGAGTCAGATTCAACTCATGGCAACTGATTTGGTTTTGCTTTATTTCTAGAAGGGCACAAGGGATTAAGAGGGTCTTTTTCGAGGTTCTCTGAAAGCCTGGTTTTGTTTGGGGAAAAATTAACATTTGATAGCTGTGGAAGTCCACCTTCAACCTTGACTCCAAGTCTCCGTATATGAGGAAGGTTTGTGGGGAGTTAAGGGAGAGGTTTTCCTCTTCCTCTCCTTCAGTCACAACTACTGAACCTAGAATGGAAGTCAAACTCTAAATGAATCAAATCCTAATTTGGGCATGTCAAATTCTAGAAGGGTGTACCCACACTTCCCCCAGCAAAGCGTCCACTGTAGGAGCAAGTGGATAAGCTGCATACCTCTTCCTCCAGCTCTTATCTCAATGATTTTCTCAGTCCCAGAACACCAAATATCAATTCACTATCTAGCTAGCTACCTATGTCTATACCCTGGAAGCCATTCAATATACGTGCAATATTTGAGGAAGTAGAAAGGGGCCCCTTAGCCCAGGAGAGAATGTTACTTAATAGCCCAGAAATTAAGCCACTTCCTTTCCATGAATTCTCAGGATGTGAAAATCCACTTCCCCCTCTACCATTTATTTCAATGTAGATTATGTGTCTCCTCTCTGGAATGTCTTAGACTTGGACAGGATACTGCCTTCAGTGCTTTTATTGTAAATTATTGGCAAGCTCCTTATTTAGAGCAAACAGGTAAGAAGGAAACATTGAATGCCTTGGCTATAGTTGGAACAAGAACAAAAAGAGGCTGCAGGCCTCCAAGTGGAAAACCAAGAACTGTTGATAGAAAAAAAAAGAAAGTTAATAATGAATGTGTTGTAAGAGGGTCCTGATATGGGATGAGTTAGGAGACTTCTTTAAAAGTCCATCCTCTGAGAACTATCTATATGGGATCAAACTGAGAAGAGCAACTCAAAAGATTAGATAGGAACCTTAGCGGGCTATGAGTTTATGTTAATGGAGGAGGAACAACTCAGAAAAGGAAGATGAGAGTAGTTGCACAACTTGAAGAATGTAATCACTGTCACTAAATTGCACATGTAGAAACTATTGAATTGGTCTATTTTTTGCTGTGTATATTCTCAACAACAAAATAAACAAAATTTAGAAAAAGAAAAAAGATTTTAAAAAAAATACATATATATATATATGTTGTTAGGTGCCATTGAGCTGGACCTGACTCATAGCAACCCCTCCTTGGGTTTCCAAGGCGGTATCTCTACAGAAGTAGATTGCCCAACCTTCCTTCCGAGGAGTGGCTGGTGGGTTTGAACCGCTAGCCTTCTGGTTAGCAGTCAAGTGCCTTAGGCACTACACTACCAGTGGGGATATACATATATATATATATAGCCCCACTTGAGATCTGATTAGAAAATGGAGAACCAGAAAAGACTTCCTCTTTATCCATGCCCTGAATGGCTAAATGAGAAGGAAGGGAGACAATGAACAAGGTTCTTGTGGATATCAAGGAGAAGACGCTGTTTTGGTGAGCTTTAGTACTGGCTCTGACAGGAATACCACAGGTGGAAGGCTTTAACAGGAGTTTATTCTCTTACAGTTTTGGAGGCTAGAAGTCTTGAGTTCAAAGTGCCAGGCTCTAGGGGCTGGGTGAAGGCCCCTTGACCTTGGGCTTCAGCTCTGCTTATTGCTTCCAGCCCACTGGAGCTGGAGGCTTTTCTTAACTCAGGCAGCTGCTGGGGCTGACAAACCCAAGGTCGACAAGTAAAAAGGCACAGTCCCAATATTACTAAACCACACAGCACGCCATTGATTCAAGTCCCTTAACAGTCCCAAGATTGGCAGACAATATGGTAGGCTGCTGAACATGACTCAGCTACATGCAGGATTCAAGCATGCCAAAAGCTGCAGACCATTCCCAAAGCTTCTCCTTATATACTAGAAGAAGCCCACATCCCTAAAGCAGCTGCTCAGCTGCTTGTGGAAGATTCTACCATGGAGTGGATTGCCAGTCTCATCATGGGGAATAACTGCAACCAGCTGCCCAACCATTCCACACCAGGCCCAGCCAAGTTGACACACAACCTTAACTACCACAGACACCCAAGCTGAGTTCAGGCTGATTTCTAGAGGCTAGAAATAGGAGATCTGAACCAAAGGATCCTTTAAGACCAACCTTGTCAAATCTTACAATAGTAACGAAAAAGTATAGGAACCTCACATTTCAGAACGAGAGTCAGATGGTGGCTGTTTACTTTGACAGCTCATGAATATCACTTTTAAGAAACACAGATGTCCAAGCTCCGTTTAAAAATTCCAAATCAGGAGGCCTCTGGTGAGGCCCAGGAAAGAGGCACCAGCAATTCTGATACACAGTCAGAAACATGAACTCCTGGGTTAAATCCTAGAGCTGTGCTCCTACCCCACTTCTAATCCATTCATTCCCCAAAACTTCCCACTCACCAGACCAAAATGGATCCCCAGTGTGTTAAGTCACAACATAGCTTCTTCAAGGAACTTCAGTTGTTCCAAGAGTTCCCTACTGTAAACTCCTCATCCTGACTCAATGTGGCCCTCAGCCAAGGCATAAAAATGGATGGTTTGCACAAACTGCATTTATTTAAGCGATAATTTATCAAAAGGATAATTTGGGTTGGTTTTATAGCTCTTTGAGTCTTCTCAGTAGCTCATCCACAAAGAACACCGCCCAAGTGAAGGGTCTCATCCGTCTGCACACCTGAGGCCGGTATGGCTACTCCATCAGGTTCCTCAATGCCAATGTCCCACACCAGAGCCTCCATGTCCATGTTTCACCCTCCCCTCATTACAGCTTGCTCCTCCAGTCCTTCGGCCAGGCTACAAACCCTCCATCTTCAGTCTTTTGACCAAGCAGTGAGGCAGGAGCAATGAATTGTAGGGTGGAGAGTCAGGGGGTCAGAAATAACTGGTACTGCTGCTCAGGACACAGAGTAGAGAGTCTCTGCCACTGTGCTTGGAAATGCAGATAAGCTGCTTTCTTCTCAAAGGATTTGCTCTGGTTTTGGTATTTCCTCAGATGACTTTTTTCCAAGTGGGTTGTTCTGTGCTGACCTCATAGAAGGCCAAACTGGGTTCTGTGGGGGAAGGGAAGAAAGAAAGAAAGCACATTTGTAAGAAGCATTTCAATAATAAATAGCAGCTACGATTTATTGAGAAGGCAGTGGTGGTTCAGTAGTAGAATTCTGGCCTTTCATGCAAGAGATCCAGGTTCAGTTGCCAGCTAGTACACCGCACACGCATCCACCACCCATCCATCACCTGTCAGTGAAGGCTTGCATATTGCTATGATGCTGAGCAGGTTTCCATAGAGCTGTCAGATTAAGAAGGACTAGATTGAAAGGCCTGCTGATCTAAAGTCAGCCAGTGTAAACCCTATGGGTCACAGGGGTACAATCTCACTGTGCATGGGGTCGCCAGGAGTTGGGGGCCGACTTGATGACATCTAATGACAATGCCATCTAATGAACTCTTTCCATGGGCCCCGCCCAATATTGAATCTCACACGTGTTATTTCCAGTGATCCTCACCATCTGGGATGTAGGTATTATTACTCCCATTCTAAATGATGAGGAAACTGAGGCTTGAGAAGCTAAGTCAACCTGCTCAAGGTCATCTAGCTACAAAGTCAGAGTCAGGATTTGGACCCACATCTGTCTAATTCTAAAGGTTGTGATCTTAACCTTTGAGCTGTACAGGCTCAGAAACAGCATGCTATCACTTCATTTAAGTAAAATTAATCAACTCAACAAAAAAAATCAAGTGGTTCTTCCTAACCCCTATACCTACAGTTTTAAGCTAGTGGCTTTCAGGCCAGAATTCTCTCATAGGCTTATTTAATTTGGCACATAGTATATTAAAATAATTCAAGTAGCTCCTGCAAGGCTTTGAGTCTGTGGCCCTGGGCTCTCTCATCATACTTGTTTTATTGATCCATTTCAAGAGGACAGAGATGCTATCTTCCATAGAGTTTAAATAGCAAGCACTCAAAGTAAAAGGTTTGTGCTTGGCTACTAACTGAAAGGTTGGCAGTTCAAATCCACCCAACTGTGCCACAGAAGAAAGGCTGGCAATCTATATCTATAAGATTAATTTGTTGCCATTGAGTCAATGCTGACTCATGGTGACCCAGGGATTACAGAGCAGAATTTCTCCATAGGGTTTTCTTGGCTATCATCATTATAGAAGCTGATTGCCAGGCCTTCCTTCTGCAGTACCACTGGGTGGGTTTGAACCACCAACCTTTAGGTTAGTAATTGAGTGCAAACTATTTTCACCACTCAGGGACTGCAGTAATTAAATTTGTATGTCAACTTGTCTGGGCCTGGTTGAGTGCCTGGGCAACTGGTGGTAGTTATTTCCCATGATGAGACTGGCAATCAACTCCGTGGTGGGATCTACCACAAGCAGCTGAGTAGCTGCCTTTGGGATGTGGTCTTTATATAAGGAGAAGCCTTGGGGATAGTCTCTGGCTTATGGCATGCTTGGAGTCTGCATGTAGCCAGTCGTGTCATTGTTCAGCAGCCTGCCATGTTCTGTCAACCTTGGGATTTACAATGGACTTAAATTAATGGCCTGCCGTGTGGTTTAGTAACATCAGGACTGTGCCTTTTTACTTGCCACCCTTGGGTTTGTCAGCCTCAGCAGCCAGCAGCTGTCTGAGTGAAGAAATACCTCTAGCTCCAGTGGGCTGGGAGCAGGAGGCAGAGCTGGACCCCAAGGTTGAGGGGCTTTCACCCAGCCCCTAGAGTCTGGTGCTTTAAACTTGTCCTTAAGCCTCCAAACTCTAAGAATAAACTCCTGTTTGTTAAGGCCATCCCATTTGTGGTATATTCTTGTCAGAGCAGCACTAGGTAACCAGAACAGGAACCTTTTTGTAAGATGACCTCCAGCGAAAACCTTAGGGAATACAGGTGTACTCTGACACTCACGGGGTTGCCATGAGCTGGAATGGATCAACAGCAATGGGTTTGGTTTTGGTTTAGCACAACACATGAGGGAAGTGGCTTAAAAGTCACTACTGTATTATCTCTGTCTCAGACTTTCAGCCAACAGTGTCAGTCATATGGGTAAAACATCCAGCAGGAGCCACAGTGCAGCTATATCAGCAGGTCCCTGAGGTCCAGGATGAGGGCTGGCAGTTACTGTAACATCACATGGCAATAATAGAAAAAAGAATGTAAGGAGGAAAATTACTATATTCAACAGTAGCTTTAGAGTGGACCTAATGCTGCACTTAGTGGAACCGAGCCAGGTCTCTGATCTCACACTTCCTTGGCAGAACCTTTCCCTGCCACGATCAGCTGGGAGTCATGTGTCATAACTGACAGTGCAACAGGAACAAACAACCATTGCTCCACAAACAAAAGGACTAGCCTTCCCTGCATCTAGCAGAACACTGCTCCCTTAGTGGATGTGGTACCTATAATTAGTCGACAAATGGCATTGCTTTCATTGCCAGCTAACTCCTTTTGTCCCTACCCCTACTCACTCCACTGCTAGATGCCTTTTCTAGGTGCTTTACTTCCTTGGGGAGCTATAGAAACCTGAGCAAAGAAGAAAATATGAGTCAGACTCCAGATTACTAAATGAAATTCAGCATGTAGCTGACCTAGCCATAAGACAATCTAAACCAAACTCACTGCTGTCCAGTCATCTGACTTTATAGTGACCCCTCCTTGGTTTTCCGAGGCAGTATCACTACAGAAGTAGATTGCCCCATCTGCCTTCCAAGGAGTGGCTGGTGGGTTTGAATCACCAGTCTTCAGGTTAGCAGTTGCATGTCTTAGGCACTATGCTAGAGCTCCCATGCAGTTAGACTATATGAAGGTATAATAAGTCCCCCAAACCAAACTCACTCCCATTGAGTAGATTCCAACTGATAGTGACCCTACAGGATAGAGTAGATCTGCCCCATAGGGTTTCCAAGGCTATAAATTTTTACAGAAGCAGACAGCCTCATCTTTCTCCCACAGAGTTACACCAACCTTTTAGTTAGTAGCCAAATGCTTTAACCACTACACCACCAGAATGCCCCTTATTGGGGGAAAAAAATCTAAACGTTGAAAGGGACCATACTTTGACCTTTTGACAGGAAGGAAAACAATTCCTTGCAAAGTCTTGTCCAAATATCTTAACACACTCTCCTTATTAGATTGTTTTTAACCAGGAATCGCTGGCCTGGTTACCAAAGACTGGATTAGGAGGGAAGGCATAGAAAGTGGAGTCTGGTTTTCACTCAGAGCTCTGGTAGCTTAGTGCCTAAGGCACTTGACTGCTAACCAGAAGGCTGGCGGTTCAAATCCACCAGTCACTCCTCGGAAGGCAGATGGGGCAATCTACTTCCATAGTGATACTGCCTCAGAAACCCAAGGAGGGGTCACTATGAGTCAGGTCCGACTCGATGGCACATAACAACAAAGCAGTCTCTAGGGGGCACAAGCAGTTAACGTGCTCAACTTCTAACTGAAAAGTTGGAGGTTCGAGTTCACCCGGAGGCACCTCGAATAAAAGGCCTGGCAATCGACTTCTGAAAAATCAGCCACTGAAAACCCTATGGGGCACAGTTCTGTTCTGACACACGCAGGGTGACCTTGAGTCAGCATGATTCTGGCAACGAGTATTGATAAGGCAGAGACATTTTCCCTGCTCCAGATGAAGGTGTCTCTATTTACTATTAAAATCAATAATCTCCATCAATGGCCCTTAAGTTGCAAGAGTAGGTATGAAGGTAAGTTTGTATTACTCTTCTGTCCATCAGGGCTTCTGTTCCTTAGGCATTCCTACTACTTAGAAAAATTGTTGACCTCAGCGAACAGCTTCCCCAGGTGGCCTAGCCAAGTATACTATCCAAGAGTTGCCCATATCCTTCCCACTCCTTCTCCCTCCTCGAGACACCTGGCTCAGTTGTGACCCAGAATCATTCTCACCATGGTCATGTAGGTGGCCTCTGATTTTCCAGTCGATTCTTCTTCCTCGATCACCTCCCGTATACTTATGGAGGAGTAAACGTGTTTCTACAGGAAAAAAATAAATAAATAAAACTTTCTAAAAATCAAGAGAATATTAGATGTCAGAAAAAAAGTTCTTCATTCCTATTCCCAGAGCATCAACCACCAATACCAGTTGATTCAGTGTTATTGAGAGCTGCAGAAGTATCATCTATAATGATAATTCATTTTCCAATCTTCCTGAAAATTAACTCATTAGGAAAGAGCACCATCATCTTAATCAAATTCCTTGCCTCAAAAGCCAAACATCCTACTTGTACATCAATGTTCTTCGCAGCACTATTCACAATAGCCAAGAGGTAGAAACAATCCAATGTCCACCAACAGATGAATGGATAAACAAAATGTGGTACTCAGAAGGGGATCAGTGCAGGAGATCCTGGATAGAGCGGGAGAACAACGTGGAACAAAATGCAAAATCATTAAAAGAAAAGAAAGACTAGGCTTACTGGTCTGATAGAACCTGGTGAAACCCTGGAGACTATGGCCCCTAGTTACCCAGGCCTGGGATTGAACTCACTTCTGTGGCTTCCGGCCAAACAATAGACAGGTATGTAGAGTGAACATTTACCTTAGGTAGATACACTCCTTAGAGCGATCACTCATGGGAGAAGAGAAGGGCAATGTTTGCACAGGGTGATAGCTCAGGGGGTAGGAATGCATGGAAAGAAGAACACAGGGAAGAGGTAACTACAGGGAGGAAGTGGGAAAAGAGTTGTTACATTGTGGAGATCATAGTCAATGTCATGAAACAAAATGTGTATGAACTGCCATATGGAAAATGAATTTGCTCTGTAAACTTTCACCCAAATCACAATATTTTTTTTTTAGTATGATATATCCATACAATGGAATATCATTCAGCCATAAAGAGAAATGAAGTTCTGATACATTCTACACATGGATGAACCTTGAAAACATTATGCTGAATGAACTAAGTCAGACAGAAAATATTGTTTGATTCCACTTACATGAGATATCTAGAACAGGCAAATGCAGAGACAAAAGTAGATTGATTAGTGGTTACCAAGGGCTGGGGGAGAGGGAAAACAGGGAGTTAGTGCTTAGTGGAAGGAGCCCTTCTCCTATTGGGTCACTCTCAGTCAGAACCGACTCAATGGTAACAGATGTTACTTAACGAGTAGAGCTTCTGTTTGGGGTGATGAAGAAGTTTGGTAAATAGACAGTGGCTGCACAACATTGTGAATGTAATTAATGTCACTGAATTATACACTCAGTAACAGTTAAAATGACAACTTTTTTTTTTATTATATATATTTGACCACAAAAAAGATTTTTTAAGTCAAGCATTTTGTTTGGATGGAGCATTTAGGTAGCTGTAAGGAATCCTTATCTTGACAAATTATCTGTATTCTGTAATTATTTCCTTCTAACTGAATTCATGGCAGGATGACATTAATCAGCAGCTAATTGTCATCATCTAATTGTCTTCATTCCTCTGTATGTATGGCAGGGATGATGCCTCTCAATGGCACTTTGTGATTCACATTCCTGTCACTGTTCAGGGAAACAATGTCATACAGTGATAAATCTTTGGTCTGGGGGACCCTGTACCATGGGGGAAAATCTACTATTGGGATACAGCCCAAAAGATGGAAAGGTAGCTATCTGAAGAAAAGGGGGCTCTGGTGGCAAAGTGGATAAAGCATTTGGCTGCTAACCAAAAGGTCAGCAATTTAAATCCACCAGCTGCTCCACAGAAGGAAGATGGGGTGATCTACTTCTGTAAAGATTTGCAGCCTCGGAAATCCAGTGGGGGTTGCTGAGTCAGAATCGACTCGATGGCAGTGAGTTTGAGTATTGGTTTAATCCATTTTCTCAATCCTTAAAAAACAGTTCCTGTCAGGTCAACCCTGACTCATGGCAATCCCACGTGTATCAGAGTAGAACTGGGCTCCATAGGCTTTCAATGGCCGATTTTCAGAAGTAGATTGCCAGGCCTTTCTTCTGAGGTGTTTCTGGGTGGACTTGAACCTTCAACCTTTCTGTTAGCAGCCAAGTTCATTTACAATCTGAACCACATAGGGAGTCCTTACAATCCTTAGTAGCCCTGATGTATAGCTCCATTACAAATTAGGATGGAGGAAAAATCCTTCTTGGTCCTTTCTTTTTAAAGGTCCTGATTACAGATTGAATTGTGTCCCCAAAAAAGATATGCTGGAGCCCTAACCTCTGAGAACTATAAATATGATCTTGTTTGGAAATTGAGTCTTTAAAGATATTATCAGTTAAATTGGCATGAAATCCCAGTGGAGTAGGGTGGCTCCTAATCCCACCTGAGTTGTCGTTATTAGGTGCCATCCAGTCGGTTCCAGCTCATAGCGACCCTATGTACAACAGAACGAAACACTACCTGGTCCTGTGCCATTCTAACCTCAGTAATGTCCTTATAAAAGAGGAGAAGAGACACAGAGAGACAGGCAGAAGAAGGATGGCTATGTAAAGTTACATGTACAAGCCAACGAATGCCTGGGGCTACCAGACACCAGGAGAGACAAGAAAGGACCTTCCCCTAGAGCCTTCAAAGGGAGCACAATTGGACCAACATGTTCATTTAGACTCTTGGTCTCCAGAACTGTGAAACAATACATTTCTAGTCCTTTAAAGCCACCAACTTTGTGGTTCTTTGTTAGGGGAGTTCTAGGAAATGCATATTCTCCCTGAATATTTAATCTTAACCATTAACTCCTGAACATCTCATAATAATCATCTCTGGTGGCCCAGTGCCTAAAGCATTTGACTGCTAATCAGAAGCTTGGCAGTTCAAACCCACCAGCTGCTCTGCAGAAGGAAGATGGGGCAATATACTTCTGTAAAGATTTACTGCCTTGGAAACCCAATCGGAATCGACTCGATGGCAGTGGGTTTAGTTGAATTTTATATTTACACAGTGTCTCACAGAGTACATAGCACTTTCCTACCATTTTATTTGAGTCTCACAAACAACCTTGTGATGCAGGCAGGCAGAGATTTTTGTCCTTATCCTCCTTCTATTGATGGGAAGCCTGATGCTCAGAGAGGTGGCAGAGCTGGCTTTGACCCAGCTTCCTAACTCCAAGTCCCACGCTCTGGATCCTCTGCCCACTACCAGGATCCACTACCTTGGCCTGATCTGGCCCACCCCACCCCACCCCATTTCACGCTTAGAGGCTTTTATTGCAATAATAAAGATTTCCTAAGTCCCTGCTCTGGGCCAGGAGTTGGCCTATATACTGAGACCTAATGCTGAGTAAGACACAGTCCACAGAGCAATGAGAACACTTCCATTTACTTTGGTTTCATCCTGGATCATGCACCCTCATAGGGCAAACCAGCAAAATGGCAGAGAGTTCTCTTACCTCTGGGTTCACTTTCTTTGCTTTCTCCAGGTTCTTGACCAGGGTTGTAGAATTCACTGAACTGCAAGGCATGAAAAACAGGAGGAGTTAACGAGACACGTTCAGAGATGCCTAGCTGGGCCCCCCCCACAGGATTATGAGAAGAGAGACTCTGGAGATAGAATAATCAGTTGTTCTAGTCCTATAAGCAGGGTTACCCAGCTCACCTGAAACCTGAGAATGCATGTCTTCTAGTGCAGGGCAAAGGAGCTCTGGTAGTGCAGTGTCTAAGGCACCTGATTGTTAACCAGAAGGTTGGAGGTTCAAACCCACCAGCCACTCCACAGAAGGAAGATGGGGCAATCTACTTCCATAAAGATTTACTGCCTTGGAAACTCAATGGGGGTCACTGTGAGTTGGAATTGATGAAGGTGGGTTTGGCTTTTTTAGTGGAGGGCAAGAAGACGTTCTGGAAAAGGTTTAGACTGAAAAATAGCTTCTAGGTCAACCAACTTTCTGTCCATAACAATTTCAAGTGATGACTAGAGAAAGGCCATGGGATTAGATGCTCTCCCTAGAGACCTTTAGAGGTGAGACACTCTGTGTGTTTAGGCTGGAATAATATAATTCCCATTTCAAGCCGAGAGGTAAATGAAACAGGACTCCAGCAACCTGATTCGGGCAGTTGCCATAAACTGCCTCCCACTGTCACTGCTCCTAACCGGCTGCAGGGATCCCAGAGAGAATGCAGGCCCCCTAAGAGCTATAAATATTTCTAGCAGACCCAGCCCAAAGGAAAACTGCAAACCTGCAAACCTACCACTCCCTCCTAAGTGCCAGGGACGTCTCTGTCTCTCACCCTAGCAAACCAGCACTTAAAAAAAATAATAATAAAAATAAAAACAGAACCCAGTAATTGACGCTGAAGTATGAGTCATTTCAGTCAAGTGTGCTCCTCGACCAGTCATTTTTGCACTTTTGACCCCATCTCTAATTGTAGAGACATTGCCATTTTTAGTAATCTTTCAGGCTGCAATCATGCCTCATAGGTGGGGACCTAGTCAAAAGTCTGTAAGGGTAGGTCAAAGAACAGGAAATGGAATTAACATTTATGGGGCCCCTCCTGGGGCCAGGCATGAGCTAGGTACTATCTCATCTCATTCAGTCTTCACAACACCAGTGTGAGGTTGGGGCCATCTGCCTTTTACAGATGAGGATGGATAAGCCTGGGAATCTTTTAGAAACTCTCCCTCTATCAGTACCATGCACTGTCCTAGGAATGTACTAAACCAAACCAAACTCTCTGCCGTTGAGTAGATTCTGATTCACAGCAAACCCCACTTGGTTTCCACAGCTGTAAATCTTTAAGGAAGCAGATTGCCTCATCTTTCTTCTGTGGAGTGGCTAGCGGGTTCAAACCACTGACCATCTGGTTAGCAGACAAATGCCTTAACACTACACGACCAGAGCTCCTTAGGAATGGACTTGGAGGGGGGGTGGGAACATCCTAGTGTCATCAGGTTGATTCTGACTCAGCAACCCCTATTGGGTTTCCAAGATGGTAAATCCCTGCTGAAGTAGATTGACCCCTCTTCTTTCCACAGAGTGGCTGGTGGATTTGAAACACCGCCCTTCTGGTTAGCAGTCAAATGCCATAGGCACTGAGCCAATAGAGCTCCTTTAGGAATGGACTAAGTGCTCATAAATGTATCAGGAAGGTTTCTCTCTGGAGGTGAATCCACTTGATCATCCCCACCACATTTCTGAAAAGGACTAGGGAGATGTATCTGAACCAGCAGGGGGCAGCACAAACTCAGCAAGACACCAGTCCAAGGGAGGTGGCCAAGCCTATTTATCCCCATAACCACCCCCAAGTTTTGAGCTCTAGCCCCTTCTGCCAACCATTGGACTCTGATTTCTTGATCATCTGCTATTTGCCAATGAATATACCTTTCTTTTTTTTATTTTGGCCTGAGGTGAAGCTAAAATACAAATCCAAGTTAAATCTAGAAAAGTAACCACAGATATTTCTTTGTCCCAAAGTAGAAATGTTTCTATTTTATTTTCTCATTATAAAGTTATACAGTCTCATTGTAAAATAATTCAAATAACACCAAAATGTAGACAGTTAGAAACTGATGTACCCAGTAAACTTCACTTCCATTGGGCTCACCTTCTCTTCTATCCCAAATACCACTGTTACTAAGATTTTAGAATTATCCTTCGAAATGTCTCTCAGTGCAAGCATAAGTACACTCACACAAACGATATTCTAGGATCTCTGGTAGCATAGTGCCTAAGGCACTTGACTGTTAACCAGAAGGCTGGCAGTTCAAACCCACCAACCACTGCTCAGAAGGAAGATGGGGCAATCTACTTCCGTAGTGATACTTCCTCAGAAACCCAAGGAGAGGTCACTATGGTTGAGTCCGACTCGATGGCACATAACAACAACAACATTATATATTCTATAATACCACCCCCTGGCATTACATAGGAGCTCTGGTAGCATAGTGCCTAAGGCATTTGACTGCTAAACCAGAGGCTGGTAGTTCAAACCCACCAGCCACTCCTCGGCAGGAAGGTTGGACAATCTATTTCTTTAGTGATCCCACCTCAGAAACAGAGATCCATCTTATCCTTTATAAGGATAGCACAGTATTTCAATGAATAGGACACCTATTCATTTAAGTATTGCCTTCCTGATAGAAACTGAGGATGATCCAATTTTTAATTATAATCAATGCTTCAGTGACTATGTTTATATACAAATCACAGCATGCCAGCCTGATTTTTTTTTTTTTTTCATTTTTTCAGGTAAACTACCTGAAACTGCTGCCCTTCATTTTGAGGGGAAGTAAGGCCCACAGTAAGAAGTGATTTGTCCACAGTCTCTTAGCAAGCTGATAAGAGCTGATACTAGAAACAAGGTTGTCTAATTCTTGGGTCCGTGCCTTCAACACTTCGAGAGCAAAGACCTTCAAAGAGGCCAACCAAGTCCAAAACCAAACTGGAGAGCCTACGGAATGGGATGCAGACGTACCAAGCACAAGTGCTGTCTGTGGAATCATGTTCCATTGGGGAAGAGGACTCAAAGTCAGTACTACTCAGTCCTAATGGGGCCCCTTGCCTATTGACACTATTTCAACAAGAGACCATTCACCCATCATCATATTTCCTCAGTTGTTGGTAAGCTGATGGATATGGCCCTGCCAATGGCTACTGATGTGTTTCAGTAGCCATTGGCAGGGCCATATCCATCATTTGGGCATTTGGGCATTTCTGAGACCCTAAGAGAAACACTGATGAAAGTCAGGACTTAAAAAACACTCTTCAACAATATATAATTTAGAATCTGAGGGCATTCATTCAAAAATCACCTCTCTTATAATTAGAATGAGACCCTTAAAAAAAAAAAAAACTATCAATCCACAAGATCTGAGTTTCCATATGAAGTATATAGTGTGGATGATTCAAAAGTCATTTCAGACATTGGATGGCATCACTGTAGTTCTTGCATAAAATTTATCTTTTCAATTATGCTCTACTTAGACCACCATTTATAAAGAAGTTTGCTATCTTTGTATGATACCAAGGCAAAGGAAGCAGGTGTGAGACTGTGCAAGGCTTCTCAGGAGCACAGGGAGTGGGGTGACTATATGGATGATGTCTATAAGACAACCACCAAACCAAACCAAATTCACTGCCATTGAGTTGATTCCCACTTATAGTGACTCCCACTGGGTTTCTGAGGCAGAAATAAATTGCCCCATCTTCCTTCCGTAGAGCAGTTGGTGAGTTTGAACTACCAACCTTCTGGTTAGCAGTCAAATGCCTTAGGCATTGCACCACCAGAGCTCCTTCAAGACAACCATAGATGGTTCTATTTTAATATACCTCAGTGAACCCCAAAATGTCTATTAGCAGATGAATACATAAATAAAATATGGCATATAATACAATGAATATTATGCAGCCTATAAAGAGAAATGCCCCATCATGGATGAATCTTGAAAACATGCCAAGCAAAATAAGTCAATGACAAAAGGGCAAATAGCACATGATCTCACTCATATGAAATAAGCAAATATAGAGAAACCAAAGATTATTTATGGTTACCAGGAGTGGAAAGAAGGGAGGAAAGGGGGAATTCTGTTTGGTTTAGGGGGCATTGTGTTTGTGTTAATGGTAGTAGAATATTTGGGAAAAGAAAACCAATAATGGTAGCACAACATGAAAAATATAATCAATGTCACTGAAATGTAAAAAAGGAAAAAAAATGAAGAAAAGTACTATTTGTTGTAAGGTGAACATTGATACCAGGAGGGTATGCACTCATAAAACAATCAACCATACATGATCAAGAGGCCAGCATTTGCCCAACATAGAGCTAGGAAGGCAGAAGGGATGGGAAGGAAGGACAAGGGAAGTGATGGCCATAGGGAGGAAGTGGAAAGAACGCTATTGCATTGTGGGGATTGCAGTGAATGTCACAAAATAGAATGTGTATGTGGGGGGAGTACTGTTGGATAATAACTCAAAGTGTAAAATAAATATCCATTTAAAAAAATAATCAGTGAAAATGGCAGTTCTGTACCTCTCAGTCCTGTGAGTCCTCTTGACTATCAGTATCAGAGCAGCAAGCAGCAGGATGGTGGTGCAGACAATGCCCACAATGATCACCAGCTGATTACCACCCAGGCTATCAGGCGTCAAGGCCACTGGGGTTACCAATGCTTGGGAAAGGAGAAGAGCAATGCAAGGGTCTCAGTACTCCAGAAAAGAGCCAAGAGAGAGCCCCAGTAGTTCAGGTAAAGATTCTACAGAAGAGCCAGCCAGGAAGGGCCAGACTCCATGCCATATCAAGGCACTGGGACTGTAACTGGGCCCATAGATTGACAACCAAAGTCTGACCACTTGTTTACCCCTAAGATGTAGACTGAGGTGATGGGAGCAGTGGCTAGCAGCATATCACCTATAATAAAGTTTCCTTTCACGTTAACAATTCTATTTTTAAATTCGTCTTACCTGACCTAGAAAGAAAAGGCACTTTAGAGGCTGCTGATTTTTTCCACAAGAATACATGCTACAGCACTCAGTCCCATAGCCATGATACCAAGCAAGGCTTTAAGGAGGCATTCCACCTTCAATCACTTACTCAATTCACTCTAAATATACATATGATAGATGTATCAAACACTTGCTTGGTGCCAGGCATTGCCAGGCAACTGAGGATACAAAAGCAAATAACGCCCAGTCCTCGCCTTCAAGGAAACAGACAGACATGTAAACAGAATACCACAGACTAGTGTGAATGCAGTGATAGAAGTCTATATGGGGTACAGACAAAAGCGTAGGCAACCCTGTGGAATTTACCTGCAAAATGGAAATTAGCCAGCAAAAGTTTTAAAGTTTAAGCTGGGTCTCAAAGAAAACATCAAGTTTGTTGGGCTGACAATAAGGGGAAGGACAGAGAGAATATTTCACACTCGATCTGGAGACCTAATAGAATAGGGCTTTTAGGAACTGGAAATAGTCCAGGAGGTCTGGTGCACAGGTTACATTTGTGGGTATGGTGAGAAATTAGGCTGGACAGATACTAGGATACAAGTCATAAAGGGCCTTGGTCATCTCAACCAGGAGTTTGACTTAGAGAAGCCACTGAAATAGTATATATACATCGTGGAATCAAATATTTGTTCAGATTTGTGATTTATAAAGATGGCACTAGTGGCAGCATGAAGAGTGAGTAGTTGCGGCTGAGAATAGAAGCAGAGACTGGCTGGAGGCCAACAGCCCAAGCCAGAGACTATGATGCCATAAGGAGGTGGTGATCAGCTGGTAAGATGACAGATTGAAAATTCAGCAGTAGAAATGACAGGACTTTTTGACCTGTTAGATTAGGGGTCACAGCAAAGGCGAGAGTCAAGTATAACTTCAAGGCATCCAGTTGCACACTAATTGATATGGGGGAGATGGGCTGGGAAGAGGTGTGCAAGGGTAAGTTTGGACATGTTGTCATTGAAGTACTTGTTGAATGTGCACATGGAAATTAAGTGTCTAGGACTACTGAGGTAAAGAAGGTCAAGACTGGGCAATTAGATGCCCTTGGTGATCTAAGCTAGGGTAGAGGTGGAAGCAGAAGGCAGAATGCAGTGCACTGAGGAGTTAATGGAAAATGAGACAGTAAGACACCAAATACAGCCTTTAGGCAAGTGGTTTGGCTCTGTCAAGAAAGAAATATATCATTGACATATTTATATATATATATTGATATAAACCATTGAGTTGAACCCTTTGCATAGGTGAATTGTGTGGTATGTGAATTAGTTCTCAATAAAGAGATTTGGGTTTTTTTTGTTTGTTTGTTTGTTTAAAGACAAAGGTGAAATCTGAAATAGACAAGGATACAAGGTAAGAGAAAGAGTTGAGCATATTTATACACTGAACAGTAGAAGCCAAAGGAAAGTGAGAACTTAAAGATTCTGAAAAGCCATGCTGTGCAATTCCTGAGAAGGTCTAGATGCACCCTGAGCATGGGGGTAGGGATGAGACCAGGGCCAAAGGGGGTCCCTCTGCCTCAGAATGGCAGAGCAGATAAGAATGGGAGCACATAGAGATATGCTTGTGGATAGGGAAGGCTCAGAAGTCAAGTGAGCTCCCACTAACGGCTTGTATTTTCTCTGCATGGTGGGAGGTAAGACTTTTGACAGCAAAGCACACAATGGTGGTTCTTTAACAAGTCCACCTGTTCTTCTTCCCTCTCCAGCTGGAATCTTTTACCACTAACAAGAAAGTGCCTCTATTGTCTGAATTGCCCATGTTACTGAGATATCCATCCTCACCCACAGCCACCCACCCAACTCCAACAAACCTGAACCAACTCCTGACCACCTGAGTGAGAGGTAAAGTACATAAGCCACATCCTGGCTGCTAACTGGGTTATGCTTTAACTTCAACCCCTCACTTATCAATCTCTCTCAAACAACACAATTAACTCTTTATTTTCCAACTCACCACTGGCATTACGGTACACTGTTTAACTGAATACAGAACCTTTGATCAGAAACACCTCCAGTTTTCGTTCTGGTTCCTTCCTATTTTCTCTCTGTTCTTGGCTATCTGCCACCAGCTCAGGATCCTTTTCCCTTCCACTACAAAGCATACAGTATTTCCCTTGACGCCATGAGAAAAACGACTTTGAACATCAACTGCAGTCCATCTCTGAGCTCCTATGTCTTTAAATTGGTAGGTAATACCAGCAATGAGTGGTATCTGGCATAGGTCAGCTGTTCACTAAATATTAGCTACCTTCTCCTTGGCCGACCAGCAAGGCCAGAACTAGGGTGAGGTGAGAAGCACGTAGGGGACAACAAATTTAAGGAAGCACTCACTTTCAGGCTCGTGCAAGTAAGAGTTGGCCTGTGACAGTGAGAGCCTCCTTAATTTTTTTTTTTTTTTTAATTTTTATCATGATTTGGGTGAAAATTTACAGAGCAAATTCATTTTCCATTCAATACACATTTTGCTTCGTGACTTTAATTGCAATCCCCATAATGTTACAATTCTCTTTCCACTTCTTCCCTGTGGTTACCTTTTCCCTGTGTCCTTCTTGCTATGCATTCCTGCTCCGTGAGCTATCTCCCTGTGCAAATACTGCCCTTCTGTTCTCCCATGATTGATCTAAGGAATGCATCTACCTGGTGTAAATGTTCACCCTATATGCCTGTCTGTTGTTGGAAGCCATGGGAGTGACTTCAATTCCAGGCCTGAAGGGTAACTAGTGAGCATAGTCTTGGATGTTTCACTAGGCTCTATCAGAGCACTAAGCCTGGTCCTTTATTTATTTATTTATTTTCAAGATTTTGAGTTTTATTTCACATTGTTCTCCCACTCTATCCAGGATCTCCTGCACTGATCCTTTAAATTTTGCATCCCAGACACCTCTCTTGGTTCACCCTAATCCTGGCACTGCCCAGCACTTATGAGATTCCTCAGCCCTCCCCAACCAAATGTGACATACTTCTAGGCTGTTTCAGGATCACATGCAGCAGAATGGTTTTCTTAAACTCTAGGTTCCCCAGGTAGATACTGCAGGTGTAGTTTCCTCCATCAGACTCCCTCACTTCTTTGAGCATGATGGAGCCATCGTTGTGGGAAATGTCTCCCACCAGCTTTATGCGGTTCTGGAAGCGTCCCTGGTTCTTGGGGTATCCCAGAGGTACACTGAGTTTGTGGGAATAGTATAACACAATCTCCTAGAAGGGAAAGGCAAAAAGTATGAGGTTGGAAGGACTAGGGACTTAGGGAAGGGTGGAGGGTTGGGGAGATTTCAGGACTCAAAGCTTTGTTACATGTAGGCAGTAAAGGTATTATCCAGAAAGGATTAGATAATGCAAAGTCATTTATACACATGTGTATGCATGCATGTGTAGTTGTGTATGCAGAGATAATGCCTGAAAGGAAGGCCACCACCAAACCAAAAACAATTGTTAAATCTGAAGAGAGGAATGAGGCAAATAAGAAAGAGGGACTTTCACTTTTCACATTTCTCCAATAAAATCCCAAAAGTACACTCTCACTTTTTAACATTTTCAGTTGGATTTCCAATAGATACCTGAAACATGTCCAAAACTGAACTCTTCATTTTTACCCCAAATTAAGTCCTTCCCGTCCATTCTATTTTGATAAATGACAATGCCTTCTTCTAGATGTATAAACTAAAAGTCTTGGGGTCATCCTTAACTCCTTTCTTTCTCAAACAACCCATATCTAATCCCTCAGCAAGTCCTATCAAAATATTTTCCAAATCTGGCCACTTCTCACTTTCTCCCATTACCCCTCCAGTTCACGCCACCTCACATCTCACCTCAATTCCTGTAACAGTCTTTCTGGTTATTCCTCCTCTACATCTATCAGTAGGCTAGCCAAATGAGCCTTTGGAAATATAAGTTAAATCATAATAATGTTATTCCTCTGCTCAAGACTCCCCAGTACACCCCACCCCATTTCTACACAAAGTATGTACAAGGTTTTCCAATCCCTCTTTTCCTCTTTGACTTTAACTTCTGTCTGTGTTTCCCCATATCTACTTGCATCACTTCTTCCCAGTCACACCAGCCATCTTACTGTGACTTAACTACTGGTCTCAGGTCCTTTGCATTTGCCACTCACTGTGCCTGGCATACAATTCCCCTAGACATATACATGGTTCACCCCTTTCAAATGTTACCTTATCAATGAGGTCTCCCTGACATTATATAAAATAGCAATCACCATGTCCTGGTGTTCTGGTTACCTAGGGCCACTCTGACAGGAATACATCACAAATGGGATGGCCTTAACAAACAGAAGTTTATTCTCTTACAGTTTGGAGGCTTTAAGTCCAAGTTCAAATTGCCAGGCTATAGGGCCTGCATGAAAGCCCCTCAACCCTGGGGTCCAGCTCTGCCTCCTGCTCCCTGCCCATTGGAGCTAGAGGCATTTCTTCACTCAGACAGCTGCTGGCTTCTGAGGCTGACAAGCCCAAAGTTGACAAGTAAAAAGACACAGTTCTAATGTTACCAAACTACATGTTGCTGTTATGTGCCGTCGAGGCAGACCCGACTCATAGTGACCCCTGATTGGGTTTCTGAGGCAGTATCACTATGGAAGTAGATTGCCCCATCTTCCTTCCAAGGAGTGGCTGGTGAGTTTGAACCACCAGCCTTCTGGTTAGCAGTCAAGGCCATAGGCATTCACTCTGGTAGCATCATGCTACCAGAGTTACCCAAACCACATAGCAGGCCATTAATTTAAGTCCATTGTAAGTCCCAAGGTTGCCAGAGCATGGCAGGCTGCTGAACAATGACACAGCTACATGCAGGGTCTAAGCATGCCGTAAGCTAGAGATTATCCCCAAGGCTTCTCCTTATATACAGGAAGCAGACCACATACCCAAAGCAGCTACTCAGCTGCTTGTGGTAGATCCCACCATGGAGTTAATTGCCATTCTCATCATGGGGCATAACTACTATCAGCTGCCCAGTCACTCAACCAGGCCAGCCAAGTTGACATACAAATTTAACTACCGCACCTGGCATTTCCTATTCTCTTTCCCTGCTTTATTGTGTTCTATTGCTTTTACCATTATTATTACATATTTATCTCTTCATTATTTGACTAGGTAAGTCCCTCCATCTTGCTTTTAAGTACCCATGAGGGTAGAAACTTTGTCTATTTTGTTTACTACTACATTCTTCAGTACCTAGAAGAGTGTCCATCTCATAGAAGATGCCTAAAAATATTTGTTAAATGAATGAATATTGGCATTTTTCATAAAAGCCTGTATATATCAATTATCTTTAAAATGCTTTTAAGAAAAGATAATGAGTATACAGACATAAACACAAAAGGAGAGACCTGGCCCATGACCTCTTGTTTCTTTTGATTCAAATTCACAACCTCAAAATGTCAATGTTCATCCTATTTCCTGCTGTAGGTCACATGATGAATGACATTTAAATGCATGACAAGCTCCTAGGGGTGAACCTGTGACTATGTATAATTCCCCATATACCATAATGATGCCACCCTTTTGATCCATTCAGACACATAAAGGAATCAAGTGAATGCAAATGGCTTTATTTACAAGGATACTCTGGAATATATTTTAATTATAAAAGTTAAATCTTTTACCAGGTTTACACCTTAACTTTTATTAATGACAAATTATGGATGTACCTCAAAATACATCTTGACTCATAAGTATATCACCATACCATGGTAGAGAGCTGCTATTCTAGTGAACTAACCTGCTGTTTAGCACTTCACAGAGTTCCCATGAAATGCCCCTTCCCTTGGCTCCTGGCATCTATTAATCCCAACATTTTAAGCATCTATGAAGACAAAGAAAAGTCTCTCCATCATGTAAATGAGGCAATGGGGCATAGAAGAACTAACAAAAAATAACCCCACATCACCAGAAAGTCATTCTCATGTCTAGAACATAGCTTTCCTGAATAGACTACAAAAATCATCCCCCTCCAGCCACTCCTCAGAAGGAAGGTTGGGCAATCTACTTCCGTAGTGATAGCACCTCGGAAACCCAAGGAAAGGTCACTATGAGTCAGATCCGACTCAACGGCACATAACAACAACAACAACAACAACAACCTCCTCCCATGCTCCTCTCAAAGAGAAGGGAGAAGACGAAGGACACTAAAATACTAAAATATAGTGACCAGGTCAGATACAAAGTGCTCTACATGTACTAACTTATATCAATATCTTGATAATCCCAAAAGTTAAGCAACATCATCATCATTGTCATTATCATCGCCATCATAATCACCTTTCTCATCAAGAAGCTGAACATGCTAGAAGGAGGTCTAGTTCTGACAGGTTCCAAAACCAAGTTCTTACACACCCACACAGCACCTGGCAACTAGATTCTCCCTCTTCCCCACTGTCCTGAGATCATAAGCCAGGGGTTTCTACTACTCAGTGATGTTTCTTCCTCCTTACCTTGGTATGCTCTCCTGATGAGAACATCCAGTGTAACTTGGTCACACGTTTCTCTTCTGTGCTCTGGAAAACACACCCCATCTGAGTTGAATCACCCACATGGACCATAATCTCTGGGAATAAGAAGGTAGAGTAAGTCAAACTCAAGGTATAATCTATAGAAGTCAAAGATCTTCTGGAAGAGACCATTTTTAGTCCAAAATCTTCAGCCCCAAAATCAGTGTCACTTTGAAATATTGCATACATCCCCTCCACAGATGATCCAGATGGTCCTGTGTAGACAAAGTACTCAGAGGCCTTTCACTCAAAACCAGCATGGTAAGAGTACCCTCTAGGTATGCACATTTGCCAAGTCTGAAGGTTTCTTCTGTCTTCACACTGCAATAAAAACTCCCTAAACAACAAGCCTAAGGCACCTGACTGCTAACCAGAAGGCTGGCAGAGCCACTCCTCAGAAGGAAGATGGGGCAATCTAATTCCGTAGTGATACTGCCTCGGAAACCCAAGGAGGGGTCTCTATGAGTCGGGTCTGACTAGATGGC